ATCTTCCCTACAAATATACATGTGAATGAAGTCCTCTTGACAGAACCTGAGAGAACATACAGTTATGAGGTATTATGTCAGTGTTCAGGATTAAGAGTGATCCAAGTACGTTTTCTGAAGGCAGGATTAGCTGGGCCAATAGACCCTATACACTAAAATAATAATTTACGAATTATGAAATTATTAAGTTATCAACTACCGTCTTCTCCAAAATTACATGGCAAATAATAGATTATGAGGGAAAAAACAGACAGGGTAAGAGAAGATGGCTCAGCTCTAATGCATAAGGGATCTACACAAACATAGCTCTGCTCATCTCTTTGCTTCACTCCATGTCTCTTCTTCCCTGACAGCCAGCTCATACATGATTGCAGCCTTTAAAAGCCTTTCCACCCATCAATCCCATCTCTAAGCAAAGCCTGATGAGTCACACAAGTTCTCTGGTGTACCAGGAGCGGAAACTGCGAAGCAGTAAAACCAGGTATGTGTTTCAGTTACTGCTGATGCTGGACTAATCACTGTGAAGAGAGAGGCAACGACGACAGCAGTGGCCAGGCACTAGGGAGCATCGACGACATCCAGCCTGGTTGGAGTTCGGTGAGCTTAGTTAGGCCAAACACACATTTTAGCTAGTTGCTAGTGAGATAAATTGAAAGCCCCTATCCACGCCCAAATAAAGGCATTTTACAAAGTGGCAGAGTGCCCAAAACTCTCAAACCACCAAACTCTGGGCACTACTTAACACACAGCTTAGTCACTCACTCGGGACCTAGAATAACTGTGCCTTGCAGTCTGCAACTGGTATTTGCTGCAAGGCCTAAATTCTACAACCAGCTGTACCATGATGTATGCCACTTTGCCCAGAAGGTCCTCTGAGTTTTTTTGCAGGTAGAGTCTGTTCTTTTTGTACGGGCTTTTTAAGGAACTCACGCATATAAATTCAAACTGGTTTATATAGAAAACATAAAACACTAGAGTGTTTTATTACTTTATGTCAAGTTGCAAACTATTAAACTTGAAAAACATTTAAATGAAGACCAGATTGTGCTTACTAACTGGATGAAGAGCACAATCACAAAAGAAATCTCTTTAAAAGAGTTTGAAGGAAGCAGGATGAAAATAACAATGGTTCTGAGTGTTGCAAAATGAGGAATAGAGAAACACTGCAAAACAAGCAGCATTTAATTAGAAGTTGTTGCAAAAGAAACTTTTATAAGGATCTAATCCAAATCATGCTACACACAGCCAAAAACCATCCTCCACAATCTTCTTACACCAGTGATTGCCATTAAGGCAGAATACCTTCCCTAGCTTTGACTTAAGCACCTCCAGAGAACAGTTTAGTCATTTAGGCCAGGCAGTAGATTGACCATGAGCTTAGGTGCACTGCAGCTGCTCTCTCCTTCCTTTCATTCACAGGAAGTCCACAGAGCTCAGTCTCCTAATTCAGGGATCCAGGTTAGATGCCTAAAGTAAGGGCGTACAAACACCCCTCCTTCCACATACGGTCTTTGATTCTACCACAATAACGGAGTTGACTGGCAATAGATAGTTAATACTTTATCAATCAGCTGAAAAAGACTTTCAGAATGGGCAGAAAACTAATATACAAACACCAAAGTAAATGGGATTTATGAAGCACTTATGAAGATGCAGGAAATAGTGTTTCTAGTTGTCTTCAGTCAGAGGCTGATCATTTTCCCGGTTGCATTCCAACAACAAAATACATAGTTAAAAGATTCCTGTTAATGCTGTCCTTTCCTTAGTATATACATCTGCAAACTGTCTTAGAAGAACAACAAAGGTAAAATATTTAGAAAAAGTGAACAAGTCTGGACATATGCTAACCTGCAACAATATACTTTCAATTTCTGGGACAAATTTCCCTTTTCATTCATGGAACTTCATTGAATTTAGTGGTGGTGTGTAGATGAACATAGAAACCTGACTAGCATGTATTAGTTTTCTGTAAATTCAACCAGGTGCATCAAAAGAAGAAATACCTTCGGATGCCTTTCTTGTACATTTAAAAAGCAATGCTTTAAATGTTAGTGAGAAAACTAACAGTGCTGAAGTTATAAGAAAACCAGTATGTGCAGCTCATAAATAGACAACATAAAACCACAGTAAGAGAAAAGGTAGAAAAACACAGCAGATTTTTTTAAGGCATGCCTACTAATTTCAAGCAACTTCCACAACATGTTCCTCTATGTCTCAAGCATAGGCATACTATGATTTGGTATCACTTAGTCACACTCCGTGCTTCTGATAGAATGTTTATAAGCGCCTTTGTACACATCCCAGCAAATATTGCTGAAAGGAGTTTAAAAAACAAAGCAACAAGCTGTACAGAACAGACCATATTTTCCATCTCTTCATAAGAAGCATAGCAAAGAAAACACATGTGTTAGTAATTGGAAGTGCAGACCAGTATGCAGACCTGGAATACTTAAATGCTTTTCTTTTAAGTGGCACATCTTCAAAAGAAAAACTTCTTTTAATTCTTCCAGTACCAAAGAACGCTAAGGCAAAAGATAGAAGCATAGACTTCATTTACTAAAAAGTTACAAAATTATGGCCAGAAGAGTGGCTTAACTTGGTATCCAGTTCCCATTTCTCCTCTGATGTCTGTAAGATGTTGGCACAATCATTTCTGGCTTAGAGGTCTGACTGCCAGACCAACAAATGGCTCACTTCAGTGCCTGAGCGGACCCAAGAAAGCAGGTTTAGCAGTAACACTGTTAGCACCTCAAAAGAGCAGAAAGGCCCTTTCTTTTGGCCAAGATAATTTCAAAATAGAGATGTTCTACTTTAGTACTGGAAACTGCACTTGCATGTATTTTAAGCCGTCACATGAAGTATTCAGAGGCTACTGTATCCTGTTCAGATTATTGCAGTCTTGTAATTTCTGTGTGTGTCTATAAGTATATATAGACACACACAGTTTGTAGATTAAATCTTTTAAAATAATGTCACAGTTGGTGTGTTCAAACAAGTGGATTGGAAAATCAGGAACTGTGATGCTGAATTTAGTAATATGGTGCTGAAAGTGCTACTCACCTGTGCAAACAGATTTGCTTGCTCCCAGAGTGTCACAACATGCCTTTCGAAAGCCTCCAGAATGAGAAAAAGTTCACCAAAACACATTAACAAAATATTTTCTCAATTAAATAAATATGGACAGTGTGGAAATTTTTACATACTATTTCTAGTGGGCTAATGTTTAGGAAATTCAGTCATGGAACTGAAACACTACACCAAGCGCTGTATAAATACCTACCAAAAAGTGGAACCTCATCTATAAATGTGAACGGTACTGAATGAAATATAGTCTGTATTTGATGTGACAGATTTTGAAGTCTGTGGAAATGCCCCTGTCGGGCAGCTGAAGTCCCTTCAAGACCAGACTTTTAATTAGGTGTATGCTTTTAATTCTAATCCTTTGTATCTCGAGAAAGACACTTTAAAATTCAGTATACAAGTATTTCAGTACAGGATTTGGCTTTGATTCACTTCCACTGACAAATTGGGGGAAAAAGCTTGCTGTACACTGTCCTGATTTTGTTTTTTAATTTTTGTCCTCCTTTGTTTTTTAATTAGAGAGAATGTAACAGATGTCAACATAAGATGAGGAGTTAGTATGAACAAAAACCCCCACTGTCCTATTCTTATCTCTTGGCCATTTCAAAACTGCTATAAACAGACTGACCTAAACGCAGCTGTGGCTTGAAGTAACATGCACAGAGCAATTGTTAGTTTTACCATGTGGTGTGACACACTATAGTACACCCTAACCTTTCAGATTTTGCTCAGGTATCTTCTTCAGATATCCACTCTCATGATACAATTTGCTGCTGTCCACTAAATCACATAACATAACCAACACGTTTTACTGAATATATTCAAGCAGGATAGTTGTTGGGAGAAAGGCAGAAGAAAGAACTGAAGTTAAGTTACCTCAGGGGACAGCCTAGGTGTTTATTATACATTTAAGACAAAAGTAAATATGTATATTGCATTACTGCTACCGATGACTATTGGCAGCCAAATGTTTACTATTTTCTTGGTACGTGAAGAGACAGCCCTGATAACCACACTGCAAAGGAATAATCATGAAATCATGAGACCAACTTACCAAAATTAACCTGAATAAGAATCTGGTCTGTGTTTTTAAGACTACCTATTTGACATAGTTTTGTGGTCTTGAGCCTGTAAGCTAACCTATCTGTTCCTCATTGTCTTCAGGGGTAGAAAACTTAAAGCTGCAGAAGTGAAATATTAGGAATTATTTGTAATTCTTAATTATACATGAAAATGTTTTCTTCCATTTGCATCTTTTCTTTAAAATTGTCAGAGTCCTCATGGCTTTGTTTTCACTGAGGTTCCTATCTGGCAAAATCAGAGGAACATAAGTTGATGCTTAAATTTAATTTTAAAGTGCTAAACAGGAACAGCAATGAAACCATGCCATTTATAGAAAGTCGCCAGGTAACTGGTACTGCAAAATAGACTTTTTGGTATTTTGCAAGTAGCTTCCAGTGCAGAACCTAACTATGCGAAACCCCACCACCATAACACATGAACAAACAAACCAGCTACAACCTCTGACCTGAAGAAACACAGGAAAGACTGCAGAGAGATTATCAAAGAGCATTTTGCACAGTAAGCTCTGAAAATTATGTGGTGGTGTTCCATATACAGGCTTTATACTACCTCCAAATGAAACAGGACAGCTCATTTTTCTATGTTCAATACTACATCAAAAATTTGTCACAGAGGCTCTAAAGTTAAATGCATGAGATGTTCCTCAGACAGTATGCGTTCACTTGCTGCCAACTCTACACAGGGAGAAATAAGAAAAGGAAGTTAGGCCTCACAGAAGAATGAGAGTTACCCTTCTTGAATTAAAAATTACTTTGGCAAACAAATTAGTAAAAGGTGGCTCTCCTCTCTTGTATTTTCACCACAGAGATGACATCTAGTACTCACCGAGATTTGGCTGAGATACTGTCATAGACCTCTGGGGTATTGGTGTGGAAGTAGCTGCAGGATGGTGATTCATGTGATTCAGTGGTTGGTTCATAGTTTTTCGAGGATCTTGCCACGTTGTAATTTTTTCTATGTGACTGAGAAAGAAAAGATAAAACACCAGCTTAACACAAAATACTCAAGTATATCATATACATGGCTAGGCATAATGTCATGAAAGTCCTATTTGCTTTTCTTATCCCACATTTTTCTACCCTTTTCATCTCACCCTAACCCACTTGAAACTATCTATCATTTATTTTTTCTTCTGATCTTCTGCCCCTGCCATTCTAACTTTTTATGCATTACTGTTGAATAGTTACTTTCACTTGAACAATTGGTGAATTCTGTTATGATATTGAAAATCTGTAATACACACACTTCTTCCAGATCATTTAATTGTCCAAAAGTTGTTTACTCTTGTCCTACCAATATTTTTCTACATACTTATATATGGCCATTCTTCATTCAGCAATATATGGTAATTTTGCTAAGTTTTGAAAAGACAAGTGTTTGTCTTGCCAAATCCAACTGCCTTCTCCCTTACCACACCATGAAAACTAGTCTGTATGTCTCCAAGAACATCAGAATATATTCTTATTACCAAATGGGGAAGATTATGTTCTCATGACCCATATCTAATCACCAATTTCTCTGTAAAAGCACGAACAGTTTTTATTGCAATGTAGTCAATGTAGGTCAACAACGTATCTACCACTCTAGTATGCAAACCCTCATGTACCTATTACCCTGAAAACTATGGAATAGTGCATAAATCTGCATAAGATTTTACAGTGAGGTAACTATAATGTGTGATCTCTGTCAAATATTTTTTGCCACAGAATACAGCAGTGAAAGAACTGTGGTTTTGTTGCAACTGAAATTCAACATCAGTTTCAAAAGAAACTTATCAGGACAAAGATTTTAAGGATCAGCATGTAATTCTACTCCAAACAAGAAAAGAAAAAGGAGCTGTCTTAAAGCAATCAATAGTCCGGTATCTACCTCGGGACTGCCTGGTTCCACATCCAGCTTTCGCCCAACTGACCAACCACGCTACTGATTACTGGCTGGACTTGGATGGGTTTTCCTCTATCAGCTGCTTGCTAGAAAACTTTGAAAGAGAGAAGTCTTTAAGAAGAACAAGTAAAGAAGGATAATAATTTAAATATTCTGTGTCTGGAAAACCATTTCAATACACCTTTCGTAAAAGCACAGTCTAACATCATCTTTACTGAACTCAGTCTCAAACCTGTCACTGCTACTTTCACCTCCGTTATCAGCATTGCCACTAATGCTGTGGCACTCCACACCGTCATGCCCAGCTGACCACCACTACTACTTCACAGGCAAGCTTCTGCCTGTTGTGATGTTACCATGTCCAAACATTTTACAGTAAGCCTCTGATATTACCAAAATAATGTGAATTACAACCGAGCGGGGGGGGCGGGAAGAACCACCTGAACCATTTTTCAAAGAATGGAAAAAACCAACACTGTCTTTATTTAGTCCGCAGCCATTTTCTTTTCCTATTATTTTACATATATGTACAGTCCCAAAACTGTAATCGAAGATCACGCTTTCACTACGATGCTTGTCTAAAACTCAGCCTCTAAGCCATTGAGTCATTTCCTTTCCTCAAAGCTTCTAGAATATTTGTTTGTTATCATTCACAATGAAACCACCCACCATTGCTTCCCCATCACATTAAAACACTTTATTCTCCCCTCACTGTAAACATTTATTAGATTTCAGCTTCTCTTCTTTTTACTCTTACATTTCAAGTGTAAGAATTCTTGTATGCAGTTCAGTTAAATGATCTTTTTCCCAGATTAAGAAATGGCATTCTGAATGAAAGACACTGCTATAGCAATAAATTGGGCAATGTTTTCCCTTAAGTCCTAATTGTGCCTAAATGAGATGAAAAGCATTTTTATTTAAAGTTCCTTTATTTTGTTTCTCTAGCATTGTAATTCAAATAAAGAGGCTATACTTAATCAAAGCTATGAGTTTTGGAATACCAACATGTAATAGAAAAGATTTTTCCCGAAATAGTGAGAAACATGTTTTTAAGCATGAGCTTTAGTGATGCTGCCTTGATGAAGCTTATATCAAAATACATTTCTCACTTTAAAACTTTTTTTTACAGATAAACACTATAAAATTTAAAAAGGGTTAAAATTAAATTAAGACTTTTTTCCTGTAATGTTCAACTCTCAAAACCAAAAGCACAGATTCCTGTTAGGACAACTTGAAGCACAAGTTAAGGTATTTATGAAGCCAGTTGTATTAAGCGATCTGTAACTTGTTTGAACGTATTCTTCCCTCTAAATACAAGTCCGAAACCTTTAACTAGAACTGCCAATTACGTACAATGACCAATAACAGGAGTGCTCTTACAAAAAAGAGACACTAGAATACCAAAATGGCCAATTCAAAATTATCTTTTGTTATTAAAGTTCCTTTCAGCAATAACATTCTCACATTTCATGGGCATTAAAAGACAACCAGACATGATTATTCATCTTTTGATTCAGATGAGACCTACGAACACACGCAGAGTCGTGTACGTGAGTTTGTACTTAAGATTTTGACAAACCTTCCATTTTAAGTATTTATGAAAAGAGAACAAGTCTACCCAGTAGAGTGCTCGGTCATGCTCAATAAAATAGTGTTTTCTGATGTTCAGAGGGAATCTCCTGTGCGTCAGTTTGTGCTCATTGCCTCTGGTCCTGTAAATTAAAGAGGTTGTATGTAATAGCCTGCAGACTCCATCTGAGACCCCACCTGGATACTGCATTCAGCTCTGGGGCCTAAACACGCTTTTAACTTTTGGTCAGCGCTGAAGTGGTCAGGCAGATGATCGTTGTAGGTCCCTTCCAGCTGAGCTATTCTGTTCTATTCAGCAGTCCAAAGACAGCCAGTGCTGACTTCAAAACATTTGTATTTTGTTTGGCACTACTTCCTGTTGAATAAATGGACTGTCACATGCTCAGCAAAGAGCTCCACTTCTCTAGTCTTGAAGGGGCACCTTCAAGAGGTTCTGAAATACCACGTTCAGGGATGAATTAAAGAGAAAGGGCTTTTATCTCATGGAAAAAATGGAAACCAGAAACCTGCCCAAGAAGCTCAGATGACCAGGAAACTCATAAAACTGAAGTTTGGAAACCACTGGAGCACACACTGGGTGTTGCAGTGTTTCTTCCTTGTCTTTTTTGCATTTGACATTCAGTTACATATAAGCGTTGAAAGGTATTAGTTTTTAACTCAAAACTTTTTATATGTAAGTATGTCAGTGCTGTCATTACTCCATGCAAAACACAGCATAGAAAAAGCAAAAAAAATCTGCTATTCTTTGCAAAATAGTTCAGCAAGTAGAGAAAGTAGACGTTGATCAAAACATGGCATTTGTCATTTAGGCCTTGATCCTGAACCACTGAATTCACTGGCAGTTTTGCTACAGGTGCCAATGGAAAGTGGGTCATACCCTTGTAATTTTGCACAGACTCAGAGCATTGCAGCCATTTGGGAAAGGGCATGGTAGCAGTAATGCTTGGTTGCAGTTGGCAGTCTATTACAATAACTATGAATTTTTGTCTTGCACTTTTAATAGAGGATCATTGGATTTACTTTATTGAAACTGTAAAAATAATTAAGGCATATAGGGTTTAGGTAACAGAAGTCATTAAAATATTCTTCAGCAATATAGTTTGTGTAGTGCTGACAGTAAACATTGCCACCAGCTCAGCAAAATCTTGTCCAAGTAATGACTTTGAAAAAAAATTTTAAGAACAGTACTATGTTAATATTATCCTCAATATACTTTGACAGCCAGAGAGACAAGCGATAGTTACTCTTTTAGAAACACATTTGGCGTAACACTCCCTGTTGAAACACTTGGTTTCTGATCACCAAATTAGCGTGAAATGAGCTGTAGTTCTATAAAGGAGCTTTTTTCCACACTGTACCATGAGGCAATTCTCCATCCTTTTCTTGTTTTTTTAAAATATGCCCACTTAAAATGTCCTGCCTACCAAGCATTATGAGGAATAGGTCTGCCATCTGCTTTCCCTGAAGTATGTGTCTTTTCTTAGTTACCAACATAGTGAGGCAGTCAGCATTAATCCAGGGCAGTCAGCATTAAGCCAGCACAAAACATGAAGAAACACATAATCTAGAACCAATAAACAAGGAAGTATTTTCTAAGTTAATATCTTTCTAGGATGCATCTTTATTGCCCTGCAGATTTTCTCGTTTTTGAAATAAGAGTTGCAAATTAAAAATACTCAATCAAGTTTTAATAAATTCTTAAAGCCTCTTTGTACATAAAAGTCCTCATAAGAAAAGATAAAAATGTTCTGCAAAGCAACCAGTCATGAAACTGTAGCTGAAAACTAATACTGCTTTTGTTCAAAATCTCTTTTATCCTTTTTATAGAGAAAACAATCTTTAATTACACATGTGAGAAGCAGGACAATGATGACCACTTAGCAATGCTTCTTAACTTACAGAAGAACTGAAAAAGTTGATCAAAAAACATAAGGATCATAGATCCTAAAAGAATCCAACTGCATTTTAAACGAAACAAAACAGAACAAAACCACAGGAATTTTCTGTGTAAACATGATAACTTCTCAGCAGGCATAGCCAGGATCCATGAGTGGCTTTGCTTACCCTTCTCGGTGCCATCCTGGCAGTGTGCAAACATATCTTCTTCATTAAAAACCATGCAGACAGAGTGTCTGAGACAGAACCCTCAAATATGGCACTGATATTATGATTCAAGGTCAAGTAATAGCTGGTTGTTACTAGAATTTATTACTATGACTACTAAACCGATCTGGTTTTACCCAGTTATTAAAGAAAAGGCTGTTGAACACTAGACAATGCTTATTTAACAACTTAAGATAGTAGAATTGAAACCCCAACAATTCCCTACAATCAGCACTAAGACGCCAAAACCAAGGGCTTGGTTTCAGGCCCGAGAAGCCTTCCCTGGACCCCGACTCCCACCGTTTCTGTACATGCCCACCCCCCTGCTTCTACATAGGTACCGTCCCTTTGCAGACACAGGCACCGGTTCATTCCACTTGGAATCTGTTGGATTTGTACTGGGGTAACAGGTTTTGGCTCTTTTTATTTATACAGGAGAATAAAAGAAACCGTAGCAGTGACAGAAATTAGCCTTTTTTAGAGTCTTACAGCCTCCTGGGTATCAGAACCGACAAAACTGAATTCAGAACAGCCTCTTTCTTCTTAAAGACCAATGGGTAAAGCATTCCATATGGTGGATTTCACTAAACACTAAAATGCAGAATACTGTCCTAAAATTCAGGACCTTCATCATTAAAATCGATTCACAGGCAGTTACGAGGCTACAGGCGCCGCAGGGCCGCTGGCTGCCGCCCGCCGCCATTACAGCCATTCAGCAGCGTACGCTGTGTGGAGCGGCCACACCTGCTTCAGTCACGACGAGCAGCTCTAGGAGCAGCATTTAGCTCTGGATCGTCCATAGGACCGCTCTGGGGTTTTTAAGGTACGATACAGTTCCACGTTAGAGTGAGCCCGGCTGCAGCTGCGGTCTCACGACGGGCTGAGGACAACCCGAGTCCCTGCTGCCGAGCGGGAAGTGCCCCGTCCCCAGCCACATGTTCTCATCCCGCTGGCAGTCGTGATTCCTCGGCTGTGCGGTCTGACAGATCAGGCTAAGCAAACCCTTATGGCTAATACTAATTTCTTAATTCTTTTCTGTTTTGCCTGTTCTGCTTCTGCTGGACTCTCACCCTGCCGGCCGCGCGGCTGTGCAGGCTGGGAGCGGCCGGTCAGGCCTCAGCGGTGAAGAGCAGCCCTTCTGACTGTGAAAACACGCTCTCTTTCTGCTCTTCGTGTTTCAACCCCAGAAAAAATAACTTCGCTCCTACGTGTGAAACTTCAGTGTAATGAAGACCATTTATTCAGCTCTGAAATGCATATCTGTACACAAGAAAGAAAAACACTATAGAGAGAACGCCCAAGCACCCTTATCTGGGATTGCATCAATCCATCTGTTCCTTGTTTTAATATTTCCAGAACTACTAATCGCAGAAGGATTTTTTTTTCTTGGCGTACATCACACAGCCTACAACCAGACAGAAAACAAAGCTTCAGACAAAGGCAAGTAACATCGGCTAGAAATCTTGCCTTCATTGCTAAACTGTACTACCTGGGTGACCCACTTGGAAGATAGTGAAAGTTTTACTTCTCCCAACATCTGAGCTTTATGCTGGTACTGGACAAAGATTAAGCATTTAACTGTCAGGATCACGGAGATAATTAGATATCACTGAGTTAAACCCCTGGTCTAAGTGTCCCCGAAGGCACTGACTTGTAAGCTACGTTTACCTGCTTTACCAATGGAATTACATTGTTATAAATCACTTTACACACTTAATTCTAGTGTAGCAGCATCTATACAGAAAGATAGCCTGTTACACTAAATCTGTCTAAATTAATACTTAATAAATACCACAAAAAAACCCCCTTCTTTCATTCAGTCCTAAGAACTATATATTGTGTTTCTGTAAGTTGTAAGAAGTTTCCACTTCCCTTAAGAAAAAAGTATTTTTCTGTAATTGCTAGTTTATGCTTTTAATTTTTGCATAATTTTCTGCAAATTATAATAACATTTTCACTACCAAAACTGTTTTATAAAATAGCTCCAAAGTTATGTAAATAATATTTTTCAATTTCCCTTGTCATTTTTACTTTCCTTTCTCCCCTAAAAGGCAGGTGGGAGGAACAGGAGATGGAACAATAGCACAATTTTTATTTAAAAATGTATATGAATAAAAAATTCTGCACATTTAAATACATTTTCTCTAACAAGTATTACTATACTGATTGCTCAACCAAAAATGAAGCTGACACTCAATGTCAGAACAATTCTGAAAAAAACTAATTTTATGAGTGCTCAAAATCTCTCATTATTTGTTCTTTCATTATTATGTTCTACTATTATATATCTATTAGTACGTCTTTTATTGCATGCTATTTTCTGTTCATCATCTACACACATTATCCAAAGAGGCAGCCTAAGAGTTTGGGAGAGAATTAGTGAAACAGTTCTTTGCTATAGATTTTTAAGATAAATGTGCATGAATCCAAGGAGGAGGAGCCTCAAACTTTAGATATCTTGCCTGAGCTATAACACTGAAGCTTCACCACGAAGCAGAGAGAACTGCTATGTAGAAACCTAACAAAGTTTTAAGAGTTGTTTTCAGAAGATTCTTGTTTGAGTAATATTCAAACATATGACAAAGTAGCCCCAAAACACATATTCAAATTTCCACTTTCACGTTTGTCAGAAGTGATCTTTGCATTTCTTATTATAAATCCTAGTATCAGAGCATGCCATTTCTCAACAACGTCTTCATTCATAAGTAAGCAGGGTAGGAAAGAACAGGCATTCATTTTAACTTCTGTTTCTGCGTCACAGATGAGACTGATACAGGGTATTCATAGGCAAACGAGAAGTTCTGAAAAGAAGATTTTCAAGAATACTTAGCTGTGCGCTAATAGTGTTCCCACTGAAACCAGGGAAAGCTTAATATTTACAACTCAAATGAGATATGTCTATCTGTCAAGTATGACACAGAACATGCTATTATAAATGCTGCCCAAGTCACGGCATTCATGCCCCTGAAGTCTACCATGCACAAGCTCCGTATGTGGTAAGCTGTATCCTAATGGTGGTACCTCATCAGGAAGAAATCAAAGGAAAGGTCAGACCTAAACAACTCCATATTTTATTTGGACTCTTTGATTCTGTTCTACCTGTTGTACCTTAGGGTTTTGTTAAATGCTTCCTGTTTGGGTGTCTGCCTCCCACTTCGAAATACCAATGTTCTTCAGAATTTGAGCTACCGTTCTGTACTGCGTTTTTTACTGCTAGGCTCTAATCCCTGACTTCCACTGCAGCCTTGCCAAGACAGCTCAGTTAGTTAAAATTAGCAAGCAGCAGCATGAAGTATACTAATTCTTTCTGCTTGTACCAACTCCAACAACAAATGTATGTCTGAGGGTTCTATTTTCAGACCCCCCTTTTTTTTTTTCTTCCTAGTATTAGGAAATTCAGATCTACTCATCTAAAAAGGTTTAAGGGAACCAAGGAGAAAGAACTGATTTGAAATACATTATTCCGTAAGTGTGCTCTCACCTGAAATAACACAAACTTAAGAGTTTGTCCAACACTGTAGTACTTGTAGTGGGTCCTTTATCAGGGTTTTGCCATTTGGACCGAGAGTGGATTTTGTGACTAAGCCACATCAAAGTGAAGCTGCTTCAGGGCAAGTGGGAAGCCGATGACGCATCAGCACCAGCAGCCCTCATGTTCTGACTCACTAGCTGCTCCACACAGGACCACAGGCTCACACTGTGCTGGAGAACATCCAGACATCCGCTTCCGGCGACACCACCATTGCCAAACGTTGGGAAATCTGTTTACAACTCTGCAGGCAGAGCCAAATCATTGCCCAACTTTTTCTCTCTGACACTCTGTTCCTTGTAAACAAAAAAGGGACAAAAAGGAAGCTTGTCTCAAGTAAGAGTCCACTCACAGTGCTTTGATGCTTCGTGATGTGGCAGATATACTTCGATAGAGATGGAAAGTTTTTTAAATTTAAGAAAATTACCTTGGGGCCACTACACCCCAGTCTACTGTGTGAGCTTGCTCACGGTACTGCAGTGCAACTTCTGGTAAAACTACAGCCAGAGCCAAGCCACATGGTGCTGCAGTAACCGCCATCATGAAGGATCCAGCAGCAAAGGAGAAGCTGTGTTATCAGCCTTCAGTGCCTTAGAAATGTACTTTAAAACATGCTGATACAAAACCATCGATCGACACAAGAGCTGCCGCCTCCCACCATGCTAGCAGCCTCAGCCATGCGCTCCGGCAGGGCTCCCTCGCTCAGGGCAAGGCGCATTTTCTCCCCTCAGCAGCAGCTAGTAATGTTGGCCCTCTCCGATCCTGATGAAAGCAGCCACTAGCTCACAAGCTGGCCCAGGATTCTTGAGAGACCATGACCCACACAAGCAGACTACCTTCTCTGTCACCACCAGTTCAGCACGGCCTCCAGTGCAGCCTGAAGACAACCAGCGGAAGTAACAGAGAAAGATTATGTTAATTCTCATTAATGCCTTCATCTGTGTAGGGGCCTGACCCACAATGGTGTTAAGGATTCAGCCTTTCAAAACATAGACGATCCAGTGGAGTTTGAAGCTATCCCCGGTTTTGCAGTACTCCTCATGAGGCGAAACACAATCTCACGGTCAGTTCTGCACCTTGCCGATTCCCATCTGCTGCGACCTCCTCCGTGCAGTCAGTACAACCGGTTTAGGATACGGACAGCAACTCAGACCAGTAAAGGATCCAGATTAATAGTTATTTTGATTAGGTCTGTTTTAAATATACTGGATCAGTTTAGCACAACTTAAGGTTTGGTACAAAAGCTGGAGTGATTGGTCAAGGCAGGAACTCTTCACACCTTTCCCCATGGACTGGCGCTTCGGGCTGGATCAATGTCACACTTTTCAGAGACCAGGCCCTCAGCAGGGACCTTCATGCGACTCCCCCCGACAGCGACGCGGACACAAGAGCTCACTGTCCCTGGACACTCATCCCTGCACCCCCAATGCAGTTTGCTGTCCCCTCCTTCAGCTATGCTACAGTTTTCTGGGGCTGCACTTAACCCAGATTCACAAAATGAAGTGGGTTGAAAAGAATTATGAATAAGGAGGCAATGGTAGGCTCGTGCAGTTGCATTCGCTTACCTTTAAACATGCAAAGTTTAAAAATGCATCTATTTTTCAGGAACTGTCTTTTCTAATCTAATAAGGTACGGCAGGATGAAAGGAACTGTACTACTACTATTACTGTTGTCATTACCTTTACAAGACAAGCCAGCACCTGCTGAGGATACTTTGCACCCTTCAGACTTTTAGGCACTCACTGCCTGCCCAAAAGGAGCTCAGAGGACTAACCTCACAACACAACAGGCAATTGCAAAATAGAAGTGCGTTTGTATGTGCTCCTGAATGCACATAAACACATTTCTGTGGAAAAAAGAATAGAGAGTGAACTCTTTCCAATTATTTTCTAAATTAAATTTATTTTAAAACTTCAGTTTAATTCAAATATTCAACAACTATTGGCCTGGGAAAAGATTACTACAGCATATTCACAGTAAAAAAAAAAGTGAGTATCAAGAGCAAATCAAGATTTCATCTTGTACACACCGAGAAATAAGGCATTGTTAGCATACTCATTAATTATGGTGGTACCTATCAGCTGTATCTTCATTTGTGCCAAACAATAAATGCCAATTGTTAATGTACACATCAGTCCCAGCACATTCACGCGTCTCTCAAAAAACTTGTCAG